TATTTATTTATTTATTTATTTATTTATTTATTTATTTATTTATTTATGTGTTTGTTTGTTTGCTTGCTTGCTTGCTTGCTTGCTTGCTTACTTACTTATTTGCTTATTTATTTATTTATTTATTTATTTATGTCAATTGCTTACAAGATAATAGGTATAAGTAAAAGCATAGTTATTAATACATGGATACATATAAGAAAAATAAAAGAAACAATAGGACAGGGACAATAGGCACGTTGGTGCACTTATGCACACCCCCTACAGACCTCTTAGGAAAGGGGTGAGGTCAATAGTAGAAAGTCTAAGGTTAAAGTTTTTGGGGTTTGGGGAAAAAACCACAGAGTCAGGTAGAGTATTCCAGACATTGACCACTCTATTGCTGAAGTCGTATTTCATGCCATCAAGTTTGTTGCAATAACCTTGAGTTTGAAAGGAGAGTAGCCAGTACAGGAATCGAACCAGCGACCTTGGCATTATTAGAACCACGCTCTAACCAATTGAGCTAACTGACCTCCGTAATGATGAATCAATGAATGAATTAAATGAATTAATTATTAATTAATTATTGCCATGATGAAGTGAGCAATGGTGCAGCAATGACCAGTCTCCAGTCATCCAAACAGCTGACAGTTCTGCGAAGCCCAACTGATTGGCACTGGAGGAGCCAGCATGAGGAAGTCAGAGACCAGAAACGCAGGCATTGGATGGTAGACTGCTGATAAGAATGCTGATGGAATGCTGATGGAATGCTGATGTCAGTTGCTAGGGGGTCTTGCCTATAAATAGAGCACTGGGAGGCAGTTGCTCCCACCACTGACTTTTCAAATGTCAGTTACTCATTTGTGACATGCCTCAGGATTGAATAAAAAATACCAACTGTTTCCAGGGATTTTTTGTTTCTGAATTCTCAAGACCTCGGGACTTGGACACTTGAGACGAACCATTTCCCCTCTTTTGCTTTATTGAATAAGTAGAACAGAATAACAGAGTTGTAAGGCACCTCTGAGATCTGCTAGTCCAACCCCTATAAGAAACCCTATATTCATTTCAGGCAAATGGTTGTCTGGTCTCTTCTTCAAAATCTCCAATATTGGAGCGCTCATAATTTCTGGAGGCAAATTGTTTCGCTGACTAAATGTTCTCATTGTCAGGAAATGTCTCGTTTGTTCTAGGTTGGTTCTCTATTTGATTAGTGTCCATCCATTGCTTTTTGTCCTGCCTTCCCGTGTTTTGGACAATCTTATAATTTCTATTGTGAAACGTTAGCATAATAAATGTTTGGATCAGGTAAATGGGATCCATCTCCCCTTATGACCCAGATCTCAGGGGTTGAAAAACCAAGTCTATTCTGAAAAACACTGTGTCAGATAAAGAAAAAATACAACAATTCCACCTACATTTCATCATAGTCTACTTCTGTTCCATTAAACATTATATTGCCTGGTAACTTTTTGAAATAGCTTGGGGATAGAAGAAAAGACTTTAGAAGGAACTGCTTGTAAGGGAGGCCGGGATCAAAGTGTAGGCTACCTTACAGTGTAATCACAAACATAAAAGATGTATGAAAATGTTAGATTTCTTTTGAAAACCAACAAAAGCTGTTTAGAATAAATGAAATAAGAAATATGAGATACAAAAGTCATTTTCAGTATTAACAATGACTTATAGAATAGAATAGAATAGAATAGAATAGAATAGAATAGAATAGAATAGAATAGAACAGAATAGAATTCTTTATTGGCCAAGTGTGGTTGGACACACAAGGAATTTGTCTTGGTACAAATACTCTTAGTATACATAAAAGAAAAGATACATTCATTAAGAGTCAAGAATCATAAGGTACAACACAATGATAGTCATAGAGTACAATAAGCAATCAAATCATACTAAGAAACAATCAGTATAGATCGTAAGGATACAAGAGACAAAGTTACAGTCATACAGTCACAAGTGGGAGGGGATGGGTGATAAGGCGTAAATGATCATTATGCATCTTGAAAATTAGCTTCAGAGCCATAGAGGGCTATAAAGGGAATTGTTCCACTGAATCCCCATTCAGGGAAGATGTAGAAAATGAAGAAATTACCATTTTATTTATTATTTTTATTCATTTATATTTATTTGATTTGTCAATTGCTTACAAGAAAATAGGTATAAATATAAACATCAGTAAGAATACATGAAATAAGTACAATAAATGGGGACAATAGGACAGGGACGGTAGGCACAATTGTGCACTTATGCACACCCCTTACAGACCTCTTAGGAATGGAGTGAGGTCAATAGTGGATAGTTTGAGGTTAAAGGAGTGGGGGTTAGAGCAGTGGTTCCCAAAGTGGGCGGTACCACCCCCTGGGGGGGGATGCCCTAGGCAGGCACTAAGAGGCAAGGGGGCTGTCAGGGGAGCACTAAGAGGCAAGGGGGGGCGTTCGAGGCCCTGCAGGGTCACCCCATTGACTGTTGCACCACTCCGGAGCCAGTGCCTTGAATGCGGTGACGG